AAAATATATATATATTATACAGAGTCAAAAAGTAAACAAAAAGAAACTCACCTTGTCAAAAGAATTTTATCCTCACAGGCATAACACAATGTAATGTTGAGAATATTTTGTGTTCTGTAGTGTGAGTGATGATGACCGATGTGTGAAACTGAGTTGTGTTTTTATTGGAATAGAGGCCTAAAATAATTGTGTAATCAGAACAAATGAGCGTGTAAGGCAAAACCTGACACAACACAAAATAATAAATAATAATAAATAACATTTATATAGAGCTCAACCCCGATTAAAGTACACAGGTTCTGAGCGTTTTACAATACAATACCATGTACCACAGTAATATAAAACGTTGTGTTCTGACTAAAGGAAAATCACTCCAAATATTAATCTTATTAATTTAAAAACAGAAAAGACTTCAGCTGACATTTGAACGAATCAAAAGATTTGGTCTCCTTTTAAGTACTTGACAAAGCATTCCAGATCTTGGGGCCTTGATATTGAAATGCCTTTCCAACCATTGTTTTAAGTTTCATAGATGGTAAAAGAAATTCCTTTTTGTCAGCTGATGACCTTAAACTGTGAGCTGGAACGTACAGTCTCAACAGATTTGATAAATATGATGGCACATTTTCATTCACGTATTTGTGACATATGGTGGCCAACTTGTACACAATTCTTCTCTCAACAGGAAGCCAATGAAATGTCCATAAAAGAGGTTACAGAGTCTCGCTTTCTTTTACGTAAAACTAAACGTGCAGCTTTGTTTTGGACAATTTGAAGTCTTTTAACTTTCTCCAGTGATATTCCTGATAACAAGGGGTTACAATAATCGAGTCTTGATCAAACTAAGCTAGTTACTAGTAAAGCAGTATACTTAGTATTGATTAGATGGCATATTTTACTAACTTTTGTTATTTCTAAATACATACAGATGATCAGATGAATTACATAAAAGAAGTGTGTGTTTTTGGGCAGAATAAATGTTGTTTATGCTTGTTCTCACAATGAAAACTAGGCAGTAACCAAACAGTAGCGTAATTACAACAAATGACAAGAATTTGTTAAGACGTGTTTACAACAGAATGTGTTACTTATGTTGTTTTTACCTTCAACAATATACTAACAGGGTTCCACTGAACAGAAGATATCGATGAAAATGGAAGAATGTTACATTTTGTTAGTGATGCCAACAATTAATGCCATCATCATGCTGATGTAAACTAGCAAGAGAAAGCAAGTCGGGGGTTCGACGTCACAGCGATTACCCGTAGAATGACCGTTTCGTCGCAAATTGAATTCGAATGCAACTAATTTAGTACGTTGCTAGTTTACCCCTGCTCACCAACAGGGAGGTGGGAATAGGTCTTTGAGTAGGGTGAGTTTAAGTTGTGTCTCAAGTACAAAATACACGTAGTTGTAAAAACCCAAAGTTGTTTTTTTTAAAAAGCGTGAAGTTCAATGCCACGTAGGCCTACTTGGCGTATATGTCGATGTTGATGTGTCCCGTATTGTACGCCTATCTCTCGATTGTTTCGGTCCATCTCTTTCTCTTCGTAAGTTCCGCTGGCGTGATGGGGGCTGTTTGTTTGCAATTTCTTGCCTTTACTTTCAACTTTGTTAGTTTCTGGGTTTTTTGCCAAAGAAACAGTGAACACTTCCATAACAGTTGGTAGTTCTAGAACAGATTTCTTGAGTCGTCCATAGCCTAGGTGGAAATGTTGCCGATGGACCACGGTATACTTCATAAATGTAATCCTCCCAAGTTCTCCTTCACACGGTAGGC